TTATTGTTCAGTCTTTGTTATACTTACAGACTTCCTTGCATTTGGCCTAAAATAATCAGATTAGTGCAGCTTTGAAAATGTAAGATATAGCCTTTTCCCCCTTACTTTCACACACTGTCTCATACTCCTTCAAATAAAGGGAATACAAATAAATTGTCATATATGCTGGCTGAATAGCTAACAAAATATTTGTGTTTTGATTAAGATTAAAGCATTCTTAGAAACCTCTTCCATCTCCAAGAAAGACATTCTGGTTTCTTCACCATCTTTGAGACTAAAGGCCTTGAAATATTTTCTGGGTATCCTGCAAGATTTTTCAAGATATACAGCCTAGCTTTCCCAGGTATTAAGGCAACAGTCTAGTTCTGATGCAGAGATAAATTTTAATCCAGAGCACTCATGAGTGACACATGGTCCCAGAAATGGGACAGATATGGTTCTCTAATAGGACCTGTACCAACAAACAGAATGAAAAGTCTGTCTCACACCTGCTGACATTTCTTCACTTTTCAGACAGCACCAGTTGCCCTTGAAGCAGAAAACAGAGGTGAAATGAAACTAGCTCTCCAGTATGTCCCAGAGCCAGTCCCTGGTATGTAATGATTTTCTATTCAGATTTATTTCCTTTCCTTATCGTTCTCTTCTCCCAGTATTCATTATGCATTTTCAAAGGTGAGGCCCTAAACAAACTTATCAAGTTAGTAATATATAGACCAAATGAGTCTATTCACAGTTGTAAATAAGAAAGTTCTTTTTTTGTTATTGTGACAAAAACCATAAAATCTAACATCTTCACCATTTTTAAGTGTACAACTCAGTAGTTCTAAGTATATTCACACTGTTGGGAAACAGATCTCCAGAACCTTTTCATCTTGCAAATCTGAAACTCTGTATCTGTTAACCAACAATTTCCTTTTCCCCTACTGCCAGCTTTGGTAATCATCATTCTACTTTCTGTTTCTATGAGAAAATTCTCATTTTTTTTTTTTTAGTTTAGTTTATAGTCCTTAGGTTTCACCTCACGCTCCAAAAAGTTTGTATCTGCACAATGTGAATGACCTGTATTCAGAATTTGTGTATTCCTGTGTTCAGAATTTGGACCTATTGATATGCTATAAGAATAAAACTTGAGTGTTCTTTTTCACAGGTGGGAATTAGGAGGACTCCAGAGAACTTAAAGCTCATTGGCCCTCCACTCTCAGGGTCTCATTAAGAGATAAAGCTTTTCCCTCAAGATTATCAGTTGCCTCCTTGTCAGGTCTTCAGCCCAGTTAAGGAGCAAGAGACTAGCAGGAAATGAATGCCAGCCAGCTCCTTGATCCATTTCCCAAGGGAGTTCCCCAAGTTAGTCTCTTTAAGAATCTGTATGAACATTATGGCTGAAATCAGGGGTTGTAAACTCAAATGCTTTCAGTAACCAGGCAGTGAAGCTAGTGAGATGGAAGAAATAATTGATGGTGAGGATAGTGACTGAACTAAAGAAAAGCATTTTAATGTAGTTTATACCGCCCACACAAAAAGAAAGAATTAGAGGGCAAGCAAAGCATATTTTCAGGCCAGATTGCTGTCAGACTACCACCTTGTAACTTCTGGATTTTCCTAAAAGGTAGATTATTTTGCATATAATTTGTATTCTATCATTTAAAGTCAACATTCATAGAAACCCCATTTTCCTTTTACCTTCTATCACTTGGTAGTAGAGGGCAGGGGTATTGTGTGTTGTGATGGGTGCCACCATGTCTGAATTTTTGCCCATGTAGTTTTTCTTCCTTGAAATGGCTTCCTCTTCTCCTCAACCTACCAAAATCTTAGACGAAGCCCCATCTCCTCCATAAAGCTTTTCCTAACTATATTAGATCTCACTGATCGTATCATCTTCTAGAACATTGCAGTAATAACTTGGAGTTTCACTGTATATTACATTTTTATCATTTTATTTGAATTATTCTCTCCAGCATAACTATAAACATTTCCCAAGGACATAGATTATTTCATGTATTCTCTGTATATCTAATGATGTTCCTAGCATAGCATAGAGATGAGCATATAATAGATGCTCACTAAATACTCTTTGGTTAACTGATTGAGCTAACCCAGTCAGAAAAATCTGGTGGCATTCCTCTGTTCATATGAACCCAGTCTAGACAACAATTTAAGACTAAGCCAAGTTCTTAGTAACTGTCTGCCCATAATATTAACTATTACATATATACATACAATATCCCTATAAAATGTGTAACCACTCTTGACCGGGTGTTGTGGCTCACCCCTGTAATCCCAACACTTTAGGAGGCTGACGCAGGTGGATCCCTTGAGCTTAGGAGTTCAAGACAAGCCTGGGCAACATGATGAAACTCTCTCTCTACAAAAATTTAAAAATTAGCCAAGTGTGGTGGCACATGCCTGTAGTCACAGCTACTCCGGGAGGGCTGAGGTAGGAGGATCACTTGAGCCCAGGAGGTTAAGGCTGCAGTGAGCCATGATTGCACCACTGAACTCCA